CTGATTACGGAAAGCAGTAGTCCCTTTGGGGCCCCTGTACTTTTCGTTCCTAAGCCAGATGGCAGCCTCCGAATGTGTATTGATTACCGGGCATTGAACAAAGCCACTATCAAGAATAAGTGGCCGATCCCGAGAATAGATACCCTATTGGATCAACTGCAAGGAGCCAAGGTGTTCTCGGCTATTGACTTGCAGCAAGGGTACTACCAATTATGGATCGATAAGGCAGATTGTGCCAAGGCGGCGTTTGTTACGCCATTGGGCTTGTACGAGTTCAAAGTACTTCCCTTTGGACTTGCGAATGCCCCTGCAATATTCCAGCAGACGATGCACCATATATTTGGTGATCAACTTGGCAAACACGTCCTAGTTTACGTGGACGATATCTTGGTGTTTAGCCGAACTGCTGAGGAACACATACAACACCTTCGGCAGGTGTTAGAAGTGTTACGACAGCAAAAGTTATATTGTCGAATGCACAAGTGTCAGTTCAATAAGGAGGAGATCTCCTACCTGGGACACATCGTGTCTCAAGAAGGAATTCGCCCAGATCCCGAAGGGATTGAGAAAGTGAAGAACTGGCCTGTACCTCAGTGCGTGAAGCACGTACAGCAGTTCCTCGGACTGGCAAATTACTTTCGAAAGTTCATTCAGGGCTATTCGAAAATGGCGACTCCCTTGACAGACTTGACCAAACAGAATGGCAAGTGGGAGTGGGCGTCGAAATGTCAGTCAACATTTGAGCACATCAAGGAGTGTTTGACCACGGCTCCTTTGCTCAAAATGCCAGATCCTGAGAGACCATTTGAGGTCATCGCCGATGCCTCACAAACTGCTGTGGGGGCGGTCCTGATGCAGGACAATCACCCTATTTGTTATGCGAGTCGAAAGTTCCTCCCAGTGGAGTTGAACTATAGCGTGACAGACCAGGAAGCTTTAGCTTCGGTCCATGCTGTCCAGTTGTGGAGATGTTACCTTGAAGGAACATGCTTCAAACTGGTAACGGACCACTGTTCGTTGACCTACCTTAAGTCACAACCACAACTGAGCCGCAGACAGGCCAGGTGGTCAGAAATCTTACAACAGTTTGACTTTGAATGGGAATACCGCCCAGGGCGAAAGAATGTGGCTGATCCACTCTCTCGCATTCCTCCATCGCCCGATGAGCAGGAGGCTAAGAGGAAAAGTCAACTAGTTGTATGTGGCTTAAGAGTAAAGCATAAGCGGGGCAGCCAAAAAGAGGCCACTGAAACGGTAGAGGCCAAAGATCTAGCCTCCAGGATCCGTCAGGCCTATGGCGAGGATCCCCAGCTTGCGTCTGTTAGACAGCAGCAAGATATGCGCTGTACAGACGGGTTGTGGCTGCGAGGCACTCAGGTGTATATCCCTGAGTCTCCCAGTCTGCGGACTGAGATCTGCCAGTTGGCTCATGACCATCCAAGTGCTGGGCACTTTGGTCAAGCTAAGACCCTGGACTTGGTCCAGCGGCATTACTGGTGGCCAGGAATGCAACGAGAAGTACACCAGTACGTCGATACTTGCCTGGTTTGTCAACAGGCTAAGTACCCTCGTCATAAGACCCCAGGCTTATTACAGCCACTGGGCATTCCTGAGGAGCCATGGACAGAGTTGTCCATGGACTTCATTACACAACTGCCAAAAACTAAGGGAGGTCATGATGCTATCGTCGTGTTCGTCGATAGACTGACCAAAATGGTCCGCCTCGCAGCTACGACCACCGAGCTCTCCGCAGAAGGAGCAGCTGACCTGTTGGTGCAGAATGTGATAAGGCACCACGGCCTCCCCTCTCAGATAGTGTCCGACAGAGACGTTCGGTTCACTTCCAGGTTTTACCGGTACCTGGCCGAGAGGTGGAAGATCCGGCTCAACATGAGCACTGCGTACCATCCACAGACGGATGGCCAGACCGAAGTCATGAATCGGGTTCTGGAGGATTACTTACGCAGTTATACGCGTTCTGACCATGACGCGTGGGATAAACTGTTAGCCATGGCCAAGTTTGCAATGAACAACTCGAAAAACAGTTCCACCCAAGAAACCCCGTTCTATCTGAATTACGGGAGGCACCCAAAGAGTCCCTTAGCTCTTGGTGTGCAAATTCGGAAGCCATTAAAGGGCTATGACAATCCGAATGCCCGCGGCTTGGCAGTGGCCATTGAAAGGGCGCAGCAGCCTTATTTGAGGCAGTCTGGTACACCCCTCGTGGAGGGATTACCAGCAGTGACACGATTTGATCACCGTGTCCAATCAGCGCTGAAAGAGGCCAGGGCGTGCTTAGAGAAAGCACGAGATAGGCAGTCAAAGCATGCTGACCGCCATCGAAGAGAGGTGTCGTTTAGTAAAGGAGATGACGTCCTCCTTTCGACACAGCATATTACTCTCAAACACCCTGGGACTCGAAAACTATTACCGAGGTGGATTGGGCCCTTCACCATCCTCGACCGGATAGGTTCTGTCGCATATCGACTAGAACTCCCGGAAAGCATGCATAGGATACATCCAGTATTTCATGTATCGAAGATTAAGCCTTATAAGGCAAGTGGCAGAGTACAGCCACCCCCAGTACCTATCGAGATCGAAGGTGAACTGGAGTATGAAGTTGAGCGTATCCTTGATAAAAGGATTAAAAAGCGTGGGAGACGCAAAAACTATGTTGAGTACCTTGTCAAATGGCTGGGATATGGACATGAGCATAACAGCTGGGAATCAGCAAAGTCAGTTGCAAATGCACAGGAATTGGTTCAAGCATTTGAAAATGGCAGAACACCTGTGATGCGAATGCAAACTGCATGAAGTACGGGATGTACATACTGAAACATGCTCATGTGTGCTTATGCTTTTGACAGGTTCTCTTGCGCTGGGCCCAGAAAAACACTGGGTATACTGCCCCCCGTGCAAGGTCGCAGTTTGGACACATGAACGCCATGTCCGTTGCGATCCTCAGCGGGGAGAGGTTGGAGACCGCCGACCCCTACGTGCCATTTCCCCGTGCGCCTGAGCGTGCACGCGGACGTGGGCGACGGCGGGGTGCCGCACCGGGCCGATCTGTACCGGCGTGGGCTTCTGGTGGTACTCGGCATCGTGGTCGCCGATGAAAGGCCGGGAGGTCAAACATTTCCAGCCACTTGGCTGAGGAAGAGTTTTAATGAGGGTTGTGAAGGCCGGGACGGTCATGTAAAACAACCACTCTTTCTCTTCATCAAAAACTGTTTTGTGTGTTGTGTTTTGTTAACTGGGCATGTGGCAAATCGCACAGCCAGTTCCATCAACATACATACAATATTTCTGCTCCCGTATCCACTTATACTGGGACGAGGACGCCCCTCTCCCTGAGGGGGACGAATGTTACGCGCACCAGCCTGATGTGGGAGACGTCCTACTAATGGCCCTTGGTGTGGGGGACGCCCTGCCCAAGGCACGTACTATTCCTCACCCACTGTAACCTTTATCCATATTAGGATACGGGAGTAGGAGGGGTGGTCCCGCCTAGGTGCCCTGTAAGGACCTAGGTGCCCGGCGAGGCGGGTCCGCGGCTCAAAGAGGGCAGGAACCCCACACCCACATCCTATTCGTAACACCGGCCTTGTTCCAATGAAGCATATATTATCCCCCTTTATTACTTTAAAGAAAAGGAAAGGCCTCCAAGTGCCATGGGGAGTCCAAAACAAGGACTTTTCCTTGGAAACCTTGGGGCTTAGAACTCACATTTCCCAAAGTGCCCTGAATAGTGGCACCCTCAAACTGTGCCTTCTAAACAGCTCTCCAATACCTTCCGTATCCTTGGACATGAAAAGTAGACTTTGGAAGGGTATTCCCTCAATGCCGTAAATTAGTGTAATTCCCTTAAAGATGCAACTATCCATAAAGTAGCTCATTAACATAAGAATGTGCTTGCCAATAAAATTGGCTGTCAATGAGCTTTTGAATGAGCAGAAATGGGTCACCCCCTATGATTTCCACAACACAAGGGACGCGGCATTTGGGAGTCGGTCTTGTGTATAAGATAAACATTCCATGTAAGGTGGCAATACTATGGGCCCACCACTTGAATGTTGACTCGAGTGTTTCTGCTTTTATTTGCGACTCTATTCTTGTTTCCCTTGCCGTATCCCGTTTCGCCTACAGGTAAGGAGGCGACCGCGGTGTCTCCCGAACATCGGGACAATATTATTGCCCATCAGCCCCATAGAGAAGGCCGGTCCGGCATCTACGGCTCTGCAGCAGGACCGCCTGGAGTGCATCCGTTCGACACAACAGAGGTACATTGGTAGATATTGTTATGCCGGTGCCCGTCGATGAGGCAGCACAGCAGCCGGCTCCTTCGCAGATGCCCGGCGGAGGATCGAGCGTGCGAGACAGGCCCTCGAGGCCTATGACCGTCGCGGTCCGTAAACCCAACGTCATTACAAAGCACGTCCAGCCATTTATAAACCCGTTCCAATCTAGACAGTTCATGGTCGCATACAGATAGATTGCCAGAGTGTTTGAATCGCACATTCCAATCGACACCGTGTCTATACCATGCTGGCGACCCCATTAGAATCTTTCCCCGAGAACTTACCCCGAACTGACTGACCGGTCCCCTCACTTCTTTCTGTCCCCATTCGCCCACACCTATTCCTCTAAGCCGGCCTACCTGGACCCGTCCGCCCGCCGGCGTTCCTGAGGTCCCTACCCACTAACTCACACCCCCGTACTCCCGCGCTGCTACCCGCTCCCCTCCTAACCTCCCGATCTGCCTCCTACCGCCCCACTTCATTACTGCCCCTTCTCCCTAAGTACTGCCCGTCCCCACTCAACCCTTGCTCCGCACAATGCCACACTAGCCATAGAATTAGCAGCACAGAAATGGCTACTGGCGTGTTGACGCTGAGCTTGGGGAGGCTGAGTGGCACTCTCCACAGAAGTTGCCTGAAGGAACGTCGGCGGCTCATGTCAAAGAAGGCCTGGAACCCCGGCCATCAATAGGCCTTCTGGACATGGCGGACTGGGAAGCTCTCTGCTATTTCCGCCAGCAACGGTGCGCGAAAGAGGTGAGCACGGCGGCGATGCCGGGTACCTCAACTGCATTCGCAGAGAGTGCTGCCCTGGATGGGCATCGCACGCATCCTGCTTTCAGCAGAACAAGTCGCCGCCTGTTTCTTGTGAGTTGCTGGCCCCGGATACCTGCTGGACATCGCGTGGACCAACGGAGTGTGTTGATGCACGTGCGTGAGACAAACCGAGCTGGGGAAATTCACGCCGGGGGTTTGAACTTTTCGATGGGAGTTCTGGGCTTGTCTACCAGTTGTTTGCCAGCCATTTTGGCACCAACGTGTGCCACCCGTGATGCTGTTATATGAGCCGACTTCAGTGTTTTTCAATTTTATCTTTGGTGCAGGTGGTACAACTTGTTGCCAAGAGTCATGGTGGCCAATTTAACGTCGATGCTCAGCAGTTTCTGTTGAGGCATTGCATATGCGACTCTGTGTGCCAAGTGCACCCCCCTTCTCCAGCGTACTTACGCAGAGTTTTGAAATACGGCATCCAAAAGGCAGAAGATCAGCGCATGGATTTATGTGAGGAGCTTTTGAAGCAATACCTTTCATGCATGAGCATGGCCACAGTACGAAGGGCAGACGCTTGAGCCTATGCATGCTGTGGGCAGAACATTGTGTTTGGAAGAAACCGTATCTTTTCTTTCTTCCATCAGGCTCTTCGTGTTGATCCAGTACAAAGAGTGGCACACAAGTTCATGCCAGACTGTTGACACAAGTGCCCACTGGATCATCCCGCACACACCCTTATTTTGCAGTGGGTCAGTGTTTGTTGCGATCTGTGTCAAGCCACAACATGCGGCAGTGGTAATTCCAATCTTAAAATCAAAGACTTGCCTTATGGCTGCAGCAGCAGTTCTGCTTTCCAACTGGATGTACTCAGCTCCTTGAACCAGAACAAATGCTGCTGCGGCAGCTGCTTCACACTGTCTTGTAAAGCCTTCTTCTATGCCACATTTGTCATTGCAGCACTTGTTGTCGTGACCCTTTGCGTATTGGGTGCTGCTGTCAAGCTGCTGCTTCATCATCAGTATGGCTGGTGACTGGTGGACTGAATTTGTTGCCCTGTTGTTGCATAGCACAGAATGTGTTCGTGACTAGTACATTGGCAACAGTGTTGGATTGTTGACGCACATGTTCTACTTTTCAGGACGCTACTGGGGGATCATGGTGCTTCAAGAGTTTCAGTTATGGGCCTGCTCTGAAGGTGGAAGAAGATGACAGAGTTGGCACCAACCTCCACATAGCTTGCAGTCAACCCCCAGACACAGATCCAAAAGTTGGCTATCGTGCGCATGAGCTGATAACCTTGCGTGTCTCAGAAAACATGTTGGAGGGTGCCACAGGTTGCCACCCATGGGAAGCAGGATTCCTTCTTGGGGAGTTTATACTGAATAACCCAGTGCTGTTTTCAGGTGGGCTCAGGAGTCCTTTCGGCAGTCCACTGTTGCTGACCAAGCAGGAAGTGAATGGCTGGTTACACCCCCATGCCTCATGCTTATGGATAAGTTATCATTCCAAGTTTGGAATAGCATTTAATCAGGACATATTGCCTAGCGTGCTCCTTTTGTTGAAGCTGCAGTTGCACCAGCACTGCTGCAAATAGTCCAATATTAATTTGACTGTGTGCAGGTAGGAGCATTCTGGAATTGGGCAGTGGCACTGGTCTGGTTGCAGTGTGTCTGGCAAGAGTAGGTGCACGACTGGCTATCCTGACTGATGGGCAGCAGAAGGCAGTGGAAAACTGCAGGCACAACCTTAACCTCAATGGTATCAAGCACACGGCAGTTGATCCTAGCCTCTTGGATTTCAGGAAGTGTGTGGTAAGTTTGATGAGCTCAGTTGGGAGTGGATGAAACATGGCAAAGCCCTTGAAGTGACCACCTGTGCCCCCCAAACTCTACATGATGTTCCCTGTTGTGAACTGCAGAAGTGTATGGAATCCCAGTTCCACAGTGAGACCCCGCTTCCCCTTTCCCTTCTTGGCCCGCCGTGCTGGCTGTTTGTTTCTCTGAACCTGAGCCTCATAATGAATTCCAAGAACATACTGCAAAATTAGGGCACATGGGATTAGGGAAGGTCAAAGGGGCACTTGACAGGCTTGCACAAGAGTGACCAGAGCATTGTCCGTTTGTCCATGCTGAATGCATTGAACGACAACGTTCCTTCAGGTCGATTGTAGGTAGGAGCATCAGAAGGATTCTTTGTGTCCCATGTACGTCTTCATGATGACACCAAACAATTAGAAAACAAACAAATCGTGGGTGATCTGGAAGACACATCTTCAGTGTGTATGTACATAGCTGTTACGACACGCACAATGAGTGCCTTACTTTGTTGGAGAATGTGTGGGTGATGTGACCCTTGGTGAAAAGCTATTTGGTGCAAAGGGAGGTGGTTGCAGGAGGGTCCGACTAATGCTGCATTGTGCACACTGGTTTGGGGTGGGCTTTGTAGCAATATCTCTGGCACCTTGTTCTCCATGCAAGGGGAGCTCATTGCAAGGACGGACAGACTGGAGCAAGAGCAGCTTCACAATATCTATCTATTGCAGCGAGAGTGCAAAACATACATGCTCCTGTAGTTCTCTATTGGCCGTTTGTTTCCTCGTATCGTTGAGATAATGCGGGTGACACTAAGGGAAGGCACTATTTTGATTTTTGTATGCTTATCGTCAAATTGATGTTAAGGGTTGGGTTGGGGTGACTAACAGTACACTTAGCGCATTGTTGGATCCCAGGATGTGGCAATTGGGTCAGCAGGCAGTCCCCAATTGCATGTGTGTACTTTTGTGTGCATGTGCGTGGTGTGTGCATCCGGATTTGAGTTTTGTGTCATTGGACTGTTGCTAAAGGGTGTTCATTGCACCACACTCAAATGGGAGCATGGCTGCCAGTGGCAACCAGACATAGTCGTTGGTGCCGATGTGGTGTATGACCCAGGTGAGAAGCGAGGCGCACCTAATTTGGTGGGGCCTGTGGGCGTGGGGGCACTAGCACTGCATCTGTTCCGCGCCCTTCCCATGTGTTGCCATGAAGCACCTGATGTGCAGAAAAGGAGTGAGAGAATGAACCTGGCAATGATACAAGCAAGAGCAATGCTAGAAGACTTCATGCTTCTATAATATTGCATGCTGCAATGGCACCACCACTTACAGGAACGGATATGCAATTGTTGTCAACAATCCGAGCTACGCTGGCGCGAGATGTGCAATGTCAGAGGGTGTGCGTACTGTTTGTTTCACTTTTGCATGTGGAATGACCAACACACCAGTCTAACCAGTCTTTTCTCCTAGCTCAACATGGGGCCACGTTTATGATAGCACTGGTGCTCATGACACATGCAATCAAAGCATAAATCATGGTGGCATAAATCCACCACCGAAAATGCAGCTGTTGCTCCAAAAACTGAACTGCCAACCCAAGATTCCCTGCTTTGCCACACCAAAGAGTCGGAGCTCTCAACTATGTGTTTTCGCTGCAGATGCGGTGCCTTGTTTGTGTGGAGTTGTGTCATCTGTGCTGTCATCAAGGCATGGGGCTGGGTCTGAGCCTTGCCAAGATGGTGGTCAGGGCGTGGCATACATCTTAAATGTTGTTCGGAATCCCGCTACATTCGAGAAGTTCACAGACGCAGCTGCACAGCGGGGATTGGCCATTGAGGACATTTCAGAGGAATTGGTTGGAATGCACATGAAGTTCCAATTCCCCCCCTGTCAGTACCAGCAAAGTGCCTTTGTTATGCATCGTTTATCTTTAAAACATTGAAATCCAAGGCTTGGATTGTGAAGTGAGGCTGAAGTGTTCCATCGTCTCTGACTAGTGTGTCTGCATCCATGACAAGCCAATACTTGTTAGGGAAGACACTACGTCGATTTTGTTACGCTTAGCGTCAAATTGACGCTAGGGGTGGGGGTGTTCCAGACCTGTGACGTTAAGAGATTATGTAATTGCAACAAAATTGACATAGGGAGGGAAGGTGTCCGAAAATGCCCCTGATGAGGAGCAAATAGCCCATGACTTGTTCCTAAACCACTTGAAAGTTTTCGATGTTCAGTAAGACCCTAAAATGGATCAATCTCCAACAATTGAGGCTGCCCGCCTTGCCCATAATGCCATTTGTAATCTCATTTTTTCGACCCAGTGAAATCAGGGCAACTTCGAGTATTTTTTGTCCTCAAAACCACCCCGAAGTTGCATATCACTGTCACATAATGTTGCCCGAGTCATCCTTGCATCGACACAGGGATTGACGCTGAGGAGGTGGGGGAGTGGGGGGTTCTGAGCTTAAAGTCAAACTGACGTTGAGGGTAATAAATCGACATAGCGCCTTCCCTTGCGACCTTCGCCCTTCAAGCACAGGTCTTGCTTGCAAGTCTCTGCGGCAATCTTGACCAAACTCGATGAGCTCGCATCCAAGAACTTGGTGCGATTCACTGCTGCCACATGGGCGGTATCAGAGATTTGTCAAGTCAAAGATGCCCTTGCCAGGCACATACACTTGATTTGGAAGCGAAACCAGATCGACGAAAATACGCCAGTCCATGGCGCTGTCAGTTTTATCATGCTCCAACAAAATTGCTTGTCCAGCTCGCTCCCCATCGCCCCAGGGCCATCGCCATGAATATCACAACAGCTCCTCCCTCAGTGTCGTACATTGCCATTGTCGCCCAGCCCATTCCAGATCATCAGAGCATCAAAGACTCCTTTAGGGGTTTAAGGGAATTATGGAGGTGGAGGTGGCGGTGGTGGTGGTGGTGTGGAGGGTGTCATATTACTGGTTGGCGGAGTTCTTCCCTGATCCACCTTTTGGAAAAGCTCCTTCGTGCCCAAGCCCCATGCAGGGCGTCCTTGATTGCAAGACGTGTTTCCATTGCTAGTCTGTGCCTCTGACAACACGACTCGCATTTCGAGCCAAGTGTGGCGTGAGTTTGTGAAGGTAAAGATGTAGTACGGCATTGAAAATTTTGGAGAAATCCTCAAACCATCGCAGGGGTGGTACGCTGTTGCCTGGGGCTTTCCTTCCACAGCATTTGGGGGGTGGCGTTCTCACGAAGACCAGCGGCACAAACGCCACATTCATCAGGTTGCTGTGGCGATTGTTAACCGGCTTGAGAAGTTCAGCAACAAAGGGTATGGGACAGGAATTCCCACTTAATTCTCTCTCTGCGACTCGGCTGCATAGTGTCTCTGGTCAGCCGGAATCGGCAGATAAGGATGTTTCCTACAGCACGCCAGGGTTTGCTGTATCTTCAGCGAGACACAGATTTTCATTGGCCAGTGACAGGTGCTTGGGGGATTCCAAAACGATACAAGCTCGACATGTGCTGAAGATGTGGACTTGAATCTAGAGCAGGTTCACTGGCCCCAGAGAAAAAAAGAAATCTGCACAACATCCACAAAGCTGTTGTGCTCGTCGACCCTGCAGTCAATACCAGCCGAACATTATAGCTGCATGCAGCGACAAACCAAGCATCATCTATTCGCTTCAGCCTTCTCGTGAACCAAAGATTCGACAAGCCTTGCTGGGAAGCACTGAATATGTGTGGACTGGGTACGCCAGCCCAAGAGGCACAAAACGTCACAGAGGCGTTGCTCAGTCGTGCACTGGCATTCCAACATTTTGCATGTTTTCAAGGTAAAACGCTACATATGTACATCCCTCAAAGAATACTTGCACACCAACTTTCTTCTCTCGAATGGCTATTGCTATTGCTGTTTCTGCAAACAGTCTGCCTGTCTCTTCAAAACTTCAAGAGAAATTTTTCTCACAACGTCACACTACGGGCCACCTGAAGAAGTCTCTGATGCTTAAGCTGTCAACTCGCATTGTCTTGTCAACTGTGAGCAACAGACAGACAGCTTTGATACCAAGGGCGATCTGCGATGATGTGCACAGCTGCCCATGCAAAGCCCAATACTGACCAGCAAAGTCAATTCTAAGCAATGGTTCCATTTATGCGCCAACTTTCATTGCTCAGCGGGTGAAGATCAGTGTGGAGAACATTCTCCAAGGCGCTCCTAATTGATATTGGGATGGTGGCACCACACTGCTGATCCACACAGAAAATTGGCCTCCTGCCTGTTGTTTTCCAGCCTGCTGGAAACTCCGCTAGTGAGGTTAGCTGTCTACCACTTCTTCTTCCTCCTCTGCAATCCCCATTGCTGCTTTTAATGCCCTGGAAAGCTTGGCTTCATTTATTCCCACAACACGGTCCACTAATTCGCCCTTCTTGTATATGCGGAATGTAGGTGTTGCCTTCACCTTGAACTCGATCATCAGCTTCTGTTGGCAGTCAACATCAAGCAACGCATCAACATCGTGACCATCAGCCCAACCACAAGAACCCCCCACTGTGCAGGGTGTTGGCTAACAGAATGCTAAAACAGAAATGGCAAAGGAGCGCCTCATGCATCATATCTTGCAAAGAAATTCTCTCAGAATCGCCAAGTGCACCCAGTTGCAGTGCACACATAACCTTGTGCCACCAGCGCCGCCATATGCGCTCAGATGCAAAGCAAACTTGCTTCGGTGTGCCCTGTGGCGCTCTTGGCTGAAAGGCATGCATACAGTGCCTGTTGTGGAAATTGCTGCTCGTCTATGGCACCCTCGTTAAGAATTCACCCAGCAGAAGCAGTGCCTGGTGCTGCACAACAATGAGCAATTCCCCTCACCCGGAGTTCTGGAGTGTAATCACCCACAACCTCCAGAAACATGGCGTCTTGATACTCAGCTGCCAGCCGCTTGTACTTCTTCTTGAATGCCTGATTCCACAGCGTTGCACAGCAGAGTCAACAACACAGTCGCGGAGAAAATCCCGCATCTGAAGCTACAAACTGGCGCGCTCGATTTGGGCGACGCACGGCCTCGGGAGCGCTCACCATGCACGGCCTGCAATACTTGGCCTTGCACTTGAGCACGACAACCTTGCTGCCACTGGCCCTCAGCACATCTTCCAGCTCCTGTCTCGACTCTACCTGCAGGGAAGACGCCCCAGATCCTTCAGCGAATGCTCTCGTGGCGACGACGACGCAACAACAAAGGCGACGCAGCGCGACCGAGCGCACAGCCTCACCAGGTTGACCGTCCCAGCATGCAGCCGCTCCAGAACGCCCACGGACGAATCCTCTTCCATCATGCCGAGGCCGGCGTCCTGAGGAACCGTTAGCGACGATGCCAGGGCCTCGACAACGGCAGACGGACGGCAGGGCTTGGCCGTGGGGCTGCCCAGGCCATGCCTTGCAGCCCCGCGGCCAAATGAACGGTGCAGGCCGCCAGCAGATGGAGACCCCGAGAGCGCGTGGCGCGGCACGGGCGACGGTCGCCCCAGAGAGGGCCGTGACAAGGAGGCGGTGTCCATGCTTGCCCAGCCGAGGTGGAGCGCTCTGGGATGGCCCCTCCCTCCCGCCTCTTCAATGGAATGATCCCTCGCACGAAGCCCACAAAGTGACTCACACTGGGGCCAAAGTACTGCGCTAGGGGCGTTGGAGGACGCCGGTGTTAGTATGCGTGGCAGCAAGAGCGCAAACGGATGAACCGCGCACTGCGCAAGTTTGCAGTGCCGGCGACTGCCCCAGGAAAAGCACGATGTGCCAGGAAAGTTCTTTGGCCTGTGTGTGCGCTTTGTGGATAACGATGTAGTTTATTACTATCACACATGCTCAATGTCCAAAATTTCCTGCACCACACTGGAGAGGGCACATACTGGCCTGGCATATAACAAAGGAGCCCGGTAAAAGGCTGATAAAGGTTTGGTGAACAACGAGAGCCAAGTCATACGATGGGTGTTCCGCACTAAGTAGCGATCCAAGAGACTCCGTTCTATATTGTGAAAAGGTGATACAACCACAAGGCTGGTGTGGGTAGGTCGCACACAGCTTAACATTTTCTGACTGTGTTCGGGTCGCCAATAAATGGGGCCAGTCTAACACAATGACTGGCAGCCAGTTGAACTACATACTATAGCTAAGTGGGCGCCCCGTGAGGCGCACAATGTAGTCCAGAATTCAGTGGATAGGTCATGGCAGACAGAGGTACAATATTTGAGGATCAGGTTATCAACAACAAGGGCCAATGGAAGTCGTCAATGGCTATTTAAATCTGGGATATGGGCAGCAGAATATGCATGCAGCTGTGGGACTGCGTTGGATTCGATTGTGGCTCAAGACATGATGCTTGAACTCATGGATCAGAAAATGAGTCAAGCATCAGCCTATTTCATGTTTGACTCCTCGTCGACTACTGCGGGGAAGGCCATCTGAATTACCATAGGCTTCAAAGTTAAAATACTGTGGAAATGGTTCAAGATGGGCGGCATGGATGTGTGATGTCAAATTTTTCTACTTTAGTGTTTGATGGTTTTATATTCTTTTCTAGTGGCACTTGACAATCAGAATGGCGACAAGACCTATTTGCTGAATGAACATCATAGGTGGTATTTTTTTGCCATGCGCTGACATGGATAGAGTGGTCGTGGGCACGCTGGTTGAGTGACATCATGTCATCTAAATTGCCATGATGGTAGCTGTGTGAGGTGTGGTAACTTTTTAATGGAATTTAATGTGCCGAAGGGTAGAGGGCTCAAAATGGCATTGTTTTGCTTAACCTGGGGACGTGTGTTGTGCAGTGTTAATGCAATCCTTGCATGAGGATTATGTGAGTGGTTAGTAATAGCTTACAGAATTGGGACGCCCGTTGGGGGTAGGACGGGTTGGGAGTTAATATGATGTGAAGTCCCAGAGTTGATAGGACTTTTAGGCATCAAAAT